CCTTCCGCAGTACTATTTGGCAGATTTTCTCAGTTACCACTGCAGAAACAATATTGTCCCTGTTCTGGAAAAGTGATTGAATCTGTAACACAAGTTCTCCTGCATTGTGAATTTTATCACAAAGAAAGATTGCAATTAATTACTCCACTCCTCTCTAAATTTATACCCCTGAAATATTATATGAATTTTAGGTCTGAAGTACTCTGGAAATATCTCTTAGAAGATACGCAGAAATCTGTAACGTATGCGGTAGCAAAATTTTGTACTATAGCAATCAGAAAGCGGAAATGTTTGGAATTGTCGTAATAGTTTTTTTTTTTTAGCTCCGAGGTTTATGAATATTAGATGGTTTTAAGTGATGCTGTGATCTTACGTTGGTTTTTGACCGTAATAAATATTGCCTGACTAATAAATATTGACTGACTCCTGGAGATTTGGGGGTGGAGCCTGTGGAGGAAAGGGACCCTCAGCAGCCATTTTCTCCAGGGGAACTGCTCTCTGTCGCCTGGTGATGAGCTGTAATTCCAGGGGGGTCCCCAGGTCCCACTTGGAGGCTGGCAACCGTTATCTGGAGAGCAAAAATAAACCTTAAAGAATAGCAAGTTTTTTGCTCTAGTATAGGCTTTCATGGTCTTGGGCACCCCATTTCAACAGATTCATGTCAGATATATCTGCCAAAGTGTGCTTTCTGCCAGAAAAGCTTGGGCAAGAACAAAGACTTCCTCTTGGTTGTTGTTGTTTTTTTGGGGGGAAGATTTCTTGCTTTCTTGCCGCTTTTCCCCATCCCCCACTCAACACAGACTCTTAAGTACAAGAACTCCTAATTCCCGAGGATTAATCTTTCTAAGATTCTAAGACTGATGGACATTTGGTGACATTTCAAGGTTAAAAACAAACTTCCTGAGCTGCAGGAATCTGCAGGCTTTCTAGTTAACCTTTGCAAACAGCCGAAACCCATCAGAAGCAGCTCTCTTACTCGCTAGCATAAATAGGAGATGCATTTTTTTTTAAGAGGCAAATGCTTGGGATCTATTTTCATATGCTAAAGGGTGTGTCAGCTAAGAATAAGAATGTCACCAACACTGCTGGGACGGCATTTGCTCTGAATATCTTTTCTCCAGCAGGACTCTGTCCATCTCCATAAAGGCAAATATAACTTGCGAGCCCAGAGTCTAATATTTTATCTTCCTGCAATAAATTGATTTAAAATAGCCCGCTTGAGCAGAAGTAGAGAATGCAAGTCATAAAAATGAGGTATGGTTATGAAGATGTACATTACATTTCATTTCTTATTTTGGCGAAGAAAAATACGGACTTGCAACCAATGTTCCCTCTAAGCTGTGGAGTCCTGTGAGCAAAAATTCTACTTGGTGAAGCAGTGGCATTAAAGTTGTGAGCGAGCGATTTGGCTACTGCATAAATTAGTTTGCTCCGGAGCCCTCCTTCCTGAGCTAAGGCAAAAATATGTGAGCTGGAGGCTAAAAAACTGTGAGCGAGCTCAAACTAACTCAGCTTAGAGGGAACACTGCTTGCAACCACAATGTTACCAAAAGCATAGATGAGTTCTTGCACTTCTGTTTAAAAGAAAGAGGGTCCTGCAGTGTTAGGGCTTAGGGCTGCCAGCCTCCAGGTGGGGCCTGGAGATCTCCCGCTTTTACAACTGATCCCCAGCTGACGGAGATCTCCCCTGGAGAAAATGGCTGCTTTGAAGGGTGGACTCTATGGAACTGTACCATGCTGAGGCCCCTCCCCTCACCAAACCCCGCCCTCTCCTGGCTCCACCCCCAAAGTCTCCAGGTCCTTTCCAACCCAGACCTGGCAACCCTACCTGGAGATCGGTTGTAAAAGCAGGAGACTTCCAGCTACCACCTGGAAGCTGGCAACCTGATGCAATGTGCCTTTTGAAAACGACCCTTTCACTATTGGGAACGATCATAGGATCAGAAGGGAGTTAGGTCACAGAATATGAACTAACTATAAGAACACCATTCTTATTAAGAACACAAAATGAAGTACTGAACACCCTGATAGTGTAAGAGGACTTAGCCCAAAGTTTTAAAAACAGAACTGTTTTGACTAAAAAACCCTGAAAGTAGCATGTTTTTAGTATTTTTAAAATCAAATAATGAGCTTTTTAAAAAAATATAACAAACCTTGCAATTAACTGGCCAATTTAAATGAAGTTAAGCCTACGTAACAGCGTTCCGTGTGCCTTGGTGTTTAGTCATGCTGGCCACATGACACGGAAATGTCTTCGGACAGCGCTGGCTCTTCGGCTTTGAAACGGAGATGAGCACCGCAACCCTAGAGTCGGATTTGACTGGCTTTCGAGCAAGGGAATTTGACTGGCTTTCGAGCAAGGGAATCTTTAGTAAACCTAACTGAAACCCAATGGACCTCAGAACTGTCTAGTGTTGCCAGGTCTGGGAAGTACCTGGAGATATTGGGGGTGGAGCCTGGGAGGGGGCGGTGTTTGGGGAGGGAACTCAGCAAGGATATAATGCTGTAGAGCAGGCGTGTCAAATTTACGGCCCATGGGCCAGATGCGGCCCACCCAGGGCTTTAATCCACCCCATGGTTCCCCTCTCCCCGCGCCTGTTCTCAGCCTTGGAAGCTCCAGGCTGCCAAAGCTCCCAGCTCCCTCGGCCTTGTCTTTGCCTGCTTCGGCAGGAAGCTCTTCTTTGCTTGCAAAGTTGCAAAGAAAATGTGGAATCGGTTTTCCATTAAGGTCTCTGGGCTCAGATAGACTACTCTGGGACTGTTTCTAGCAATAGAAACAGTGCTCTGGGACTGGAATGACAGCCCCCAGAGTGGAATGACGGTCCCTATCAATAGAACCTGTGTTCTAGGACTGGAATGACAGGGCCCAGAGTGGAATGACAGCCCCTGGGAGTAGCAGCAGTGTTCTGGGAATAGATTCCACTCTGGGGGTCCTCATTCCATTCCCAGAATGTTTCTGCTGATCCCAGGGACTGTCATTCCACTCTGGGGGCTGTCATTCCAGTCCCAGAGTAGTCTATCTGGGCCCAGAGACCTTAATGGAAAATCCATTCTGCATTTTCTATGCAGCTTTATCTGTGTTGCAGTGTATTTCAACGGAGTGGAGCTCAAGTAGTTCCAGTTTCCAGTGTTTGTATGCCAGCTGAAGTTGTTGCTTGATGGAGCTGTCTCCTTGTAAATAAACAGGTGATGTTTTGAGCCAGCTTGTGTCTGCGGAATGGACCTGAGAACGGGTGCCTGAGTGAGTACTCTGACCTGGAATCTCACAACCAAAGGAGGACATTACGCTGGAGAGTCACTGCCACTCTGAGTAGACCTGGGGCGGGGGGGCGAAGCTTGCGATGCGCAGTTGCATTGCCCAGCCATTTCATGTTTTCCTTAGGCTCAGAACATTTTATAGTTTTAGTATATATTTTTAGCTTCTACTGTGACCCTTGTGCTTTTTCGTCATGTTTTATTTTAAAAATTCCACTGCCAAATCCCACTATTCCCCCACCTTTCCATTTTAGGCAGGCATCTTGTATGGGGAGGGGGGCAGAAGGTTTGGGAGGTGTGAGTTATCAAAGACTATTAAATAAACAACATATCTCAAGAGATTTACGCATGTTTGTATTTTAATGTTTTTAAATCTTTAACTGTGTTTACCTGTATCCTTTATAAAGTTTATATCTCCGCTACCTGGCATTACATTTTACGGCACCCTGGTAATTAGGAAAGCTTTCAGGAGTTCCACGGGGTACAAAGAAAATGAGAAGGGTCTACAGGTACATGGGCTTCTGAGCAAAACATGGATATGCTGAGTTGCTGCCAGCTTTTCGACATACCTATGGATTGGTTTGCACACTTGGCAGGGTGCCTCCACATTTCTGCAGTGCAATCCACCATGGGCTTGTCCGCCTGTGGCTATGTCAAGAACCAGAAATACATGTGCCTACAGCTACATGGGACGGGAGCACATCTCATAATCCTAGCAGCATTTTGCACCGCAAGAACACTTATAAACTGGCATGCATAGCCACTCTCATGTGCATATTTAATTTATATGAAACCACAGCCATGTGACTGCAGGCACACGCAAGCCTAGGGACAATGGACTGAAGAGAATTCTCTGTAGGCACTGCTAGGAATGAGCTGGGAGGTTAAAATGGCCCTGGAACAAGCTTCCCTTTAAATGGTTTCTTGTGAGCGGGGCCCGGCTACCTACACGTGCCTGAACTCCAGGCGGCAAATTCACCGCTTGGAGTTCAGGCATGCGGCTGGCGGCAGTCCCTCTCCCTCCCCTCCTGAGGATTTACAGGGCCCTCCAGCTGATTGGTGGGCCACGTGCTCCCGCTGATCAGCTGGAGGGCCCTGTAAATCCTCAGGAGGGGAGGGAGAGGGGTGGCCACAGGTGGTCGCTGTTGGGAGTGAGGCTTCCCCCACCAACCAGGTGGCTGGTGGTGGGCAGGAGGCCCTGAAATCAAGGGACCCCCTGCCCCCACCTTGGGATTGGCGAACCTACATTTTCTCCAGGTGAACTGATCTCTGTCACCTGGAGCCTTGTAATACCACCTGGAGATTGACAACCCTACTGGACACCACCATGTATGTGAAGCGCTTTCTGCCACACTCTTGAAATATGTACAAACGTTTTTTCTTGGGAGTGACTTTCAAGGCCGTTAGTGGCCTGAAATGCATCTTGGAAAGTAATCTACTGAATGCTATGTGGGCAAAAATCTTGTTAACAACAGCAACAACGCTTCGTATTACAATTGATTATTATAACAATGTGCCATAATTATTGTAAATTTATTATAATAAGACGTATAATAATAATTACTTCTACACAGCTGTTGTTGCTCCTACCACTATGTTGTTGGGTTTCCTTTTTTGTTTCCACAATGCTTACAGCCGAGTTACCGATTTAAGACGGGACACCGGGGCGTTTAACAGGCCGTGGCTTCTAGCCATTTGCGCAGCGTCACACAGAATGCCAAAACGGAATTTTTCGAGTTACTTACCCAGAATGAATGGGACTGGAGACAAGGTTAACGTTATCCAGGGTGTCTGCAGCCCAACTATAATGCCTGAGCGAGTCAGAGTCGAACTCCCTTGGAAATGTCAGGTGCTTTAAAGAGAAGCAGAAGTGTCAAAGTTCGCAGGGAAACAAACGTAAAACATGTTCTATGATCGACCCCCATCAAAAGAGCAAACAGATCGTCCCCAGTGCTTAATAGCACCTATAATGATTATGACTCGTTTACAGGGGTCATTTCCTAGAAAAAGAGGTGCAGGAGCTCATTAGCATAACTCATTAGCATAACTTATTTGCATATGCCACACACCCCTGGCATCACCGGAAGTGTGTCAGAAGGCAACACCCACCGCTCAGGCTCCACTGGACTGTTTTGGATTGCTAGCTATTGGGGGGGGGGGGAACGTGCAGATCTGTCCTTGCAGAGGAGGGAGAGCTTGAACCTGAATAAAACTTGGTCTTAAAGGTGCCACTGGACTGTTTTGGATTGCTAGCTGGGGGCGCTCTGCAACTTACCTGGCTGCTTCTTGCTCTGACTGAGGGCTGCTGGGAGCAGGGAGTGGGGCTTGTTGCATGTGCCCACCCCCTTGGCTCTTTACTGCCGGAGCTCCGCTCCTGTGCGCTCCCACAGGAAATGACCCCTGCTCATTTATATAGCATTTTTTGTTTTTGTTAGGTCACTGTAATGCACGTTACACAACTCCAACCAGAAACAAAGTAGCCCCTCTCTTAAGTAGCAAACTTTGAAGCCTGCCTCCAAGGGAAGAGTTATTTAAGCTGAACTTCCTCCAGCCCAAGGTAGGATACCGTAAGCAAAGCCGTACACCTCAATGAGGATTTTATTAGAAATCCCCTCACTAATTATAATGCTACCTTAAAATTATATCCAAAAGAATGTATTGCTCATGAGGCACTCTTGTATAGTCATGCCCTGCCCACCCCTTCAATACTTCCACAGAATGTCTAAATGATGCACGCACTGTCTGGGTAACGTGTGACCCTGAGACTGAGAAGGCAAAAGGCTTCCATTTGTCACGTACCAAGTTGAACAAAAGAGGCTGTAGCTCAGTAGAGCCCGTGCTTTGCACAAAGAAGCTTCAGCTTCTGGGATCTCTAGACAGACGATCACCGCTAACCGGGTGCTGGGAAAGACCTTTTTCTGCCCGACACCCTGGAGAGCCACTGTCATTCAGAGTAGACAATGCTGAGCTAGACGGACCAATAGTCTGATTCGACAGCTTCACACTCTCCCTTTCCTTCGCGGGGTAGTGGAAAGCGCCATCAAGTCACAGCTGACCTACGGTGGCCCTGTAGGGTTTTCAAGGCAAGAGACGTTCAGAGATGGTTTGCCACTGACTGCCTCCGCATCCCTTGGAGATCTCCATCCAAATGCTAGCCATGGCTGTCCCTGCTTAGTTTCCAAGATCTGACCAGATCGGGCTAGCCTGGGCTATCCAGGTCAGGGTCCCTCCTTTCCTTTGTTGTTGTTGTTCAGTTGCACAGTTGAGTCTGACTCTTCCCGACCCCATGGACCAGATCACGCCAGGCCTTCCGGTCTTCTGCCATCCTCTGAAGTTTGCTCAACTTCATGTTCGTTGCATCTATGATACTGTCTAACCATCTCATCCTTTGCCGTCCCCGTCTTCTTTGGCCTTCAATCTTTCACAGCATCAGGGTCTTCTCCAGTGAGTGCTCCCTTCTCATTGGGTGGCCAAAGTATTTGAGCTTCAGTTTCATTATCTGGCCTTCCTTTCCTTACAGTTGGCTTATTGAATGGCAGTGTCAGACTTCTGGTCAAGAGACTCCCAACAACACTCTCTTTGGCAGTGATTTGTTTATTGAGATATCGGCATGATCCAGGCTAGTGCAGTACCGTGTCAGAACTGAGGTTCAAGCAGGAAAATCCAAAGATATAGACAGTTCAAACTAAAGCTCCTCTAACCTAACCAGTCACACGTCTCAGCCAGCCTGCCTAGCTCTTGTGTTCACTAACCCGCCCCCTTGGGAATATATGATCCCGTTATCTACAATAGCAAAAAAATCCTTCATACAATTTCATATGTTACATTAAACTGGAGTCCTTCTCAAATACACCTATCTCTTTTTAAAAACAAAACCCTGTGCTTTAATTGGGATCCATCTGACCTCAATGCTTTTGACAAGAGAAGGAGAGTTACAATTAAAGTTTGCCATTCCTGCCAAAAAACCAGGGACGTCAGGAATTGTAATTCAAGCATACTGAAAGCCACTGTGGACATACAAACTTGCTAAGCGTGGCAGGAATACCAAAATATTGCTATCCAGGTCACTGAACAAGAATGCTACCATTTAAACTTTTAATGAGTGCCCGCTTCTCAAAACCCTTTCATTAAAGAACGAGGGATTCTTTCATAATCCTCCCTTCCAGAAAACACTGTTCTGTAAAGACACCTTTGTTGTGATTATATAAACACATCACTGTCCTGACTTTTAAACCAAAAGTAACATTCTGGAATGTTCAGGCAGTTGACCTCAAACAGAATCTGATCGAAGAGAACGGGATAGAGACGTCCAAAGAGATTTCCAGTGTTTGACTGGGTGTGTCAAGGCCACCATTTCACCAGCTAACCACAAGGTAGAGAGCAAACCTCACCCACAGGCTTATGATTTAATACAGGGAGACAATAAGAGAGGAGAGAGAAGGAAGAGGAAAGGGAAAGCTGGAAGCCATAAGTCAGGGAGAGAATTTTTTTTAAGTGGATGATCAGATAATGTTTGAGAATAGGGTAATACAGTGCGTACATCAGAAGGAAAGGTCTTGAACAGGCTGAGAGTAGAAGGGGAATAAACAAGACATATAAGCCACACAGCTGCCAACATTAGTTTTATAAAGTCAGAAAGTCGCAGAAGAATGAAGAAAGAAGGCAGGAGAAGAGAGAGAATTTCACAAATGGGTCAATGCCTCATAAGCATGTAGCAACATCCCACTATCTCCAGACGTCTCTCCTAACTCATCCCTCACATTCATTTATTGCCCACAACTCTCACACAGGCATCAATATGCCCTCACATTCCTCACACTCACATACACGTTTCATGGGGGGGGGGGAGAGAAACAAACCCTCTCCCCAGCGCTGCAACCCCCAAACGAGCTGTGGCCTTCTCTAGCAGTCAGGGAACTCCAGATTTTTATGTTGGTTGGCCTTAAATGAGTTTCAGAGTTTCTGTCACCTAGGGTTCCCAAATCCCCCCGGGGGGCGGATTTCCCCCCGCTTTTGAGGCCTGATTTCCGCCCCCGCGGAATTGGGCCCGGGGGAAACCCCACCCCCGCGCCGCCCGGATGTGACGTACAGACGCCGGGCACGCTGGGGGCGGGGCCACAGCCATTTGAGGGGAAAACAGAGCCCTCAAATGGCTGTGGCCCCGCCCCCAGCATGCCCGGCGTCTGTACGTCACATCCGAGCGGCGCGCGCGCTTCGCACGCACGCACACCCTCCAGACACCGGGCAGGAGCCCCCCACTGCCAGGTAAGATTCATTTGGCAACCCTACTGTCACCTTGTGCCCAAACAAACAAAATCTCTCTCATGAATAAGAACACCCTCTTGATCGCCACCCATATGCAAACAAAACACTCCTGTAAAAATTCTCAACCATCTCCTGGTGGTATAACCAGTATAATGTCTTAATAAAGGAGCATGGAGAACATTTCTGTTATCTGGTCAATTATTTCATGGAAATAACAAAAAAGAAGGTAACCCGTGTTCGGAAAAAATACTTGTGGCAACATTGCCAGCCATAGGTGGTTAAAGAAATTTTTCACAGAACTGTGAAAAGGCAAAAGCTGCTTGATAAAGTTTGCGAAATAGAAGAATTCCACAGTTACAAGCAGTGTTCCCTCTAAGCTGAGTTAGTGTGAGCTAGCTCACAGTTTTTTAGCCTCCAGAGCTCACAGATTTTTCTCTTAGCACAGGAAGGGATGGCTCCAGAGCAATCTAATTTATGCAGTAGCCAAATCGCTCACTCACAACTTTAATGCCAGTAGCTCACCAAATAGCATTTTTTCTCACAAGACTCCACAGTTTAGAGTGAGCATTGGTAACAAGCTAGCCTGACCCATTAATCTGAAAACCATGGGGTTTATCTCAGCAGAGTTAGGGATGGACTTTTTAGAAAGTCATCCTATTGCTAGCAATCGTTTAAATGTTGGATATAACTATTTTGGGGGGAGTTTCCAAAATATGACATTTCAACACATATATCACTTGTCCGCCTAGAAGCACAGAAGGTTGGCTGTACAAAGTTACTTTCCCCAATCTATCTGTAACTTCCGCCAAGACTTTGCTTATTCAGGATTTCTGAAGATTGTAGCGTGAAGGAGACTGAAAGTAGTTGCACCATACATTCAGAAGATGGCAGAAACCACCAGAATTCTGAAGCTGAGGACCTAACAGAGTCCTCAGCGTCCAGACCGGTTATTTTGGTCCAACATAGTTGCTCTTCCCAAAAAGATTAAACGGGGCTCAGTCACGCATCCACATCTGTCAGCCATTCCACAGTCACACACATTCCATCGTACAGCGAGTTAGAAATGGAGACAAATAGCCACCACATAGCATGTGGTGCTTTCAGTCCCCCACACATTCATCACGTGTGGGCGGATGTCTGAACTCCCCTCTTGCAAAGTCAAGCCGTTTGGGAAGTCTGAAGGTTCCCTTCCGTTTCCGCCACCCCTTTTTTTCTGATCAAAACTTCCCGCAACTTTTTAAACTGCCGCAAGCAGAGACGCTGCCATATCGCGCCAAGGCTCCAGTCTGACCGCGGCCTAAAGGGGACATACAGATGTGTGTAAGAAAACAGACCCCAGTGCACAAAAGGCATATATGGAAGGATAAACATGCCTCTAAAACCCTGCAAGGGAAAAAGAGCTTGAGGGAGGGGAAGACTTGGAGTGAAGAACCGGTAGGTTAAGCCTGCCTTCCCCCACCTGGTGATTCCCTACTCTCAATCTGATGGCTTATCTCTTAAAAAAAAATGTGGTTGAGACTTTAATACAAGTGTTTGCATGTACTGAATCTTTCGTTAGGGCCCCATTCCCAACTCTTCAAACACCCATGATCTTCCTCCAGGGAAAAATTACGATCTGACCTCATCCAGAGCATAAGAGTGAAGGCAGTCAGCCTTATCCAACAATAGGGGCGAAACAATGAGGACGGCATTCGGCTCCTGTTTGTTGGTCACAGAGAAACGGTGGCTTCCAAAGTTAGGCTGAAGAGTCATCAGAGCACAATGCTGTTTTGATATTTAATTCAGAAGACAATGCTGTTTTGATATTTAATTCAGAAGACAATGCTGTTTTGATATTTAATTCAGAAGACAACGCTGTTTTGATATGTAATTCAGAAGAAAGCTAAAATCCAGTTTGGTGTAGTCGTTAAGTGCGCGGACTCTAATCTGGGAGAACCGGGTTTGATTCCCCACTCCTCCACTTGGACCTGGCTGGATGACCTTGGGCAAGCCGTAGTTCTGATGAGAGCTGTTCTTGAAAAAGAGCCGTTTCTGTCGAGAGCTCTCTCAGCCCCACCTACCTCACAGGGTGTCTGTTGTGGGGAGGGGAAGGGAAAGGAGTTTGTAATCCGCTCTGAGACTCCTTCGGATAGTGAAGGGCGGGGTATAAATCCAATCACTGCTTCTTCTTCTTCTTCTTGAACAACAACAGATGGTCACTTGAAACATTAAAGCTTCTTAAACTATCCGTCTCTAGTACCGGGCAAAATGCACCAAGGAATCTGTTGTAAAAGGGACACTCAATCACAAATTGAGAGAAAATGATTTCTTGGTAAATGATTTCCTGGCAAAGCACTTTACATACATTGTGAAGCTCCAACTATAGGATATGTCCCTGCCCAAGTCAGAAGTTAAGTATACTGTGTGCAAAACAATCCTATGATATCATAAGAAAGACTCAGAAACTGCATGGCCATGCTGGTATCCAGTATGAACGAACTTATTTAAAGAGAAGTACACTGTCCTTTCTGTATGCTCTTTTGCGATATGAGGAGGAGGTCCTTCCACACCTTTAACACCAGCACAGCAAAAGCAAGTAAGCCTCTTGTTGTTTAAGTAAACACTCCCCATGCTGGCAAATGGTAGTACCTATATCTAGCCTCACTGGCCTGGCTGGAATTCCCTGCCACCACCATGGCTTTGCCTTGCATCTTTCAGCTGAAGCAGCCAGGTGCCCAAACTCCAGAAGCAAACAGAACCTGCCTTAATTTAGCTCCAGAGTTCAGCACATCTCTAATGAATCACCGAACTATAATACGATCTATTCAAAGCTTGGAAGTCAAAAGGGAATCACGCCTCCACCAGCAAAACACAGCACTATCTGAAATATCACAGGTACATGGATCAATTCACCAAAAAAGCTTTACGCCCCACATTCATTCTTTTGTCTTTATTGCTGCCCCCTGAACAATGGTTAACGCCAGTGGAAAAGATAGCAATATTATTTACAGAATTTATATCCTGCCTGTCTGCCCTCACAAGGGCCACCAAGGCTGCTAACGATTGAAAACCTAACACAATAAGATCACATTTCAAAACCATAAAAACCAACCTCCCCCAAACACACATCATTCCAGCCAGGGCTATTTTTGGGCAAGAACGCACAGGAACGGAGTTCCGGCTGGCTCCCCAGTTGGCCACACCCAGCAGGAACTAATTAGCATAATAGGCCACACCCAACATCAGGAACTCATTAGGATTGGCTACATTAGGGGTGTGTGGCCTAACATGCAAAGGAGTTCCTGCTACAAAAAAAGGCCCTGGGTTTTGACCACAAACAGGGTCAACAGAATAAGAAGCAAAAGGTGGGTGTCGCTGGATAACCACACTTCTGGTAATATGGGGGTGCGGCCTAATGTGCTAATGAGCTGTGCTGTCAGGGGTGTGGCCCAATAGGCTAATGAGTTCCTGCTGTTGGGTGTGGCCTATTATGCTAATGAGTTCCTGCTGGGCTTTTTCTACAAAAAGAGCCCTGATTAAGACACATTAAAACCAGAGTTAAAATATGTACGAAGACATAAAAACAACCATTAAAACATTGGTCAGGAAGGAGTGATCACTGGGATTGCCAGGAGGGGGGGAAAAGTCTTCACCCACTGGGAGAAGATGGCAACGGAAGGGGACAGATGCATCTCCCTGAGGACAGCGTTCCAAAGCTTTGGTGCTATGACCGAGAAGGCCGAACCTCAGAAGGTGGGGGCACCCAAACCAGGACCTCTGAAGAGGACTATAGTGGTCAGGCAGGTTGCAAGCTCTAATCAGTGACTTAATTGGTATGGTCAATTGACTAAAACATTAATCTACAACAAAAACGTTGCCTCTGACAAAACAGGAAGGCTGATAAAGACAAAGCGGCCAGAATGGGGACTGATGTTGGAGCTCAACAAATGGATGGACTACCAGCCATGGTAGGAAAGAAGAAGAAGAGATTTGATTTATACCCTGCCCTTCACTTGGAGTCCCAGAGCGGCTTACAAACTCCTTCCCCTCAACAGACACCCTGGGAGGTAGGTGGGGCTGAGAGAGCTCTTTCAAGGACTGCTCGTGAAAGAACAGCTGTGAAAGAACTATGGCTTGCCTAAGGTCATCCAGCAGCTGCAAGTGGAGGAGTGGGGAATCAAACCCAGTTCTCCCAGATTAGAGTCCGCGCATTTAGCCACTACACCAAACTGGCTCTGCGGGATCTGATGGGGTGGGGGGAGCAGATATAGCACAGGCACTGGGGCTGAAACCCCCATTGTTTATGTACATAAGCCATAGAAGTAGAAGGAACTCACCTGATCTTTTGATGGCACCAGCAGCTCTTCAATCATCATGCTGTCCCGAGCGAAGGAGCTTCTGTTCAGAGTGTAGGACCCAGCCGAACTAAAGGAGCGGAGGCTGATTGTATTTACAATTTACCACACAATGTGAATGTGATAATGAGATGGAGAAAAGAAAAATTAATACATGCAACTTCCAGGGAACTGGCAAAAAAAAAAGAGTGGGGCGATATATTTAAATGTTTGTATGAAATTTTAAAAGACGCTTTAAGAAGTCATAATTCACGTAATTCCTTTAAATTTTTGCTTTGTCCCATGGGTGTTACAGTTATCTAAATCAGTGTCGTATACTGTTGGCTTTCAGTGATGTGTTTGCAAACATATGTTCAGCTACGTGGAGTGTGATTTAAAGCATGTGTGCTCAAAAAGGGAACAATGGATTTCTACGGGAGTTACTCTAGCGTAAGTGTGTTTAGGATTCATGCCAGGACCTCTCTACAAAACCTGTTTAAATGGGGACTTCTGTGTTCTATTTGTTCTATTTTGTTTTGCGTGGGGGAAGAAGAAGAAAAAGAAGAAGAGATTGGATTTATACCCCGCCCTTCACTTGGAGTCTCAGAGCGGCTTACAAACTCCTTCCCCTTCCCCTCCCCACAACAGACACCCTGTGAGGTGGGTGGGGCTGAGAGAACTCTTGACAGAAACTGCTCTTTTTCAAGGACAGCTGTGCCGGAGCTTGTGACTGACCCAAGGTCACATCAGCAGGTGCAAGTGGAGGAGTGGGGACTCAAACCCGGTTCTCCCAGATTAGAGTCAGCACACTTAACCACTACACCAAACTGACTCTAGAAAATGCAACTAAGATTTTTAAGTTCTCGTGAAGCTACTTCATTCTCTTGTCTCACTGTGAACAGGAGCTCTAGAGCAAGTCTCTTGCGCTTTGTGGAGAAAAATGCACCAAATCAGTGGTCTCCAACCTTTCTTGACCCTGGGCCCACTTGTAACACCCTTGGTGGTAGCGCAGGACTCACTGAGTGTGAGCACATGACAGGATGTAGCATGACAGCAGAGTCATGTGACATGAAGAGGAGGAGTCCCATCTGGGCTAAAAAGGAATCCTTTCCACCACTGTGAGATCTCGCCTTGTCATCCTACTGCTTCTCTCAGCATGCATGTGAAGTGAGGCGCGGGGGGGGGGTGTCTCTCTTGTTCTCTACACATGTACACTAGCAACTGGTCCCTCTAGGCTTACCAAGTGGCGGCGGGGGATCCGCACTTCTTCACAGGATCCCTGCCGCGGGGACGGCGACACGCGTTGCACCCGTCGCCAGGATGTGACGCTACGCGTCGCTCTGGCAATGGGACTCCAAACAGCCCCACTGCCAGAGCGACGCGTTGCGTCACATCCTGGTGACGGCGGTGCAACACGTATTGCTGTCCCGGTGGCAGGGATCCTGTGAAGAAATGCGGATCCCCCGCCGCCACTTGGTAAGCCTAGGTCCCTCCAAAAACAATACAAAATGGTGGCCCTGTTGAGTTGAACCAGGGGGAGTTCTGCAAACCGTGGGAGAGTTCTGACTTATGTGCTGAAGACCCTGCACTAGATTTAGCATAAATCATCATTCTCAGCCATGAACTCACTAGGAAGGCCTAAGAAGAAGAAGCGATTGGATTTATACCCCGCCCTTCACTACCTGAAGGTGTCTCAGAGCGGATTACAAACTCCTTTCCCTTCCCTTCCCCCACAACAGACACCCCGTGAGGTAGGTGGGGCGGAGAGAGCTCTGACGGAAACGGCTCTTTTTCAAGAACAGCTCTTATCAGAACTATGGCTTGCCCAAGATCATCCAGCGAGGTGCAAGTGGAGGAGTGGGGAATCAAACCCAGTTTTCCCAGATTAGAGTCCGCACACTCAACCACTACACCAAACTGGCTCTTAGACACATGACTATTTTCTCAGCCAGGCCAACTGAAATATGGGAATAACACTACTGGCCTACCATACAGGGCTACTGAAAAGATACCCAAGAAAATACATATGGAACATTCTAAGTGCTTGAAAGGTGTTTAGATTATGTATTGTTAGTATTGTGATTACTATTGTTGTTATTTAATGGAAGATTTAGAGTAAGCTGAATATGCTGAGATCAAGGGAAATGTTGGGTCTCTGTGCATTATACATTAAACCCTGGAAGCTACATCGAGTTAGAACACATGCTACACATACAGGCATGCTTGCTGCTTATGACTAAAAAGAAAGAATACGTCAAACGAAAATCCAGCAAAACAAAAATGCTTTTGAACTAGTTTTTTTTTTAAATATAAAGCTCCAACAGTTTATAGCATGCACTTTGAACTTCTGAATAAATTTTTTTTACAAGATTCCATTTCAAAATATATCCCACTTAGATGGTTTCTCTTGATGGCTGGAGGACATAAAGCAGAGTTGGCCCCTGGGTTATTATTAAAACCACCCTTCCCTACAAAAGACTTAAAGAAATCAGACCGTACATTATGATGCAGTCACCGAAATATTATTGTCTAACATGGAGCATAACAGAAAACTGCACATCACCGCACAATGCTGAGGAAATTTTTAAAAAATGAAGAAACTAATGAGAAATGGTAAAAGTGGAGAAATGTCACAAGGGTCCCATGCTTTCTTACCTGACCTTAGGACTATTTTTAAAGAAATGTATAGGGGGAAAGAAACAAGGAAAGATAGAAAGCAAAGAATCAGACGCTGAAGAAAAGCATAATGCCATGGATGGATGACGTAGACATTTAATGTAATTTATTGCTTTAATGTTACACTCAAAATCAGCCAGGTGATAATCGATCTGCACTTCTGGCTACACACAGTGGTTCTCAAATCACCAGTGGTTTTCACCACTCGTAATAGATGTTACAAGTAAGAGTGAACATAAACCTCACAAGGTGATGGTTGCTGCATGACAGAGTTAACTGAGGTTATCTACCACTGCACTATCTACAGAACACAGAATCAGATCCAGTGTGTCAATTGTCACATGGGAGGGTGACCAAATGTATGGAGACTAGAGTTGCTACTTATATAGTGCTGACAGGAGATCTCCTGGCAATGTGCCTCATCTCCACCCTAGCTCAGAAGAGCAATGGGGGGAAACGGGTGTGTGTGTGAGAGAGAGTGTGCCGGGAAGTAACTTCCTGTTTCAAAACAGGAGGTGACTTCATGATGTCCTATGACTTTTCAAATCTGAATGGTAAAACAACAATTTGGAAATTCCTAGAGAGTCTTGGTTTCATTTCCTGTTTCAGAACAGGGAGTGAGATCACAACACTACAGGATTTTCAGTCTCTATATTTTTTACTATAGAGCTTGAAAACTGCTAGAGCATCATGACATCACTTCCGGTTTTGAAACAGGAAATGGGTATTGCCAGGCGAGGGCTGTCAAGACTAATTGAGACAACCCATAACTACCATACCTGTTAAGGAGGTCCCAGCATGGATGCTGAAGACCTCAAGGACAGTCAGCCTTGGAGATCTCACCACCAGGTCTGAGATCACCTCAAGGAGATCAGGCAGGGAGGTTGCAGAGCAGTGGGTGGGTACTGCAGAACCAAGTTCCCTAGTTGTGTGAAAGTCACCCAACACTAGGCATATACAGCCTGATAGAGGGCTTGGTGGGAGATGGGGGTTAGGTGTTACTCTCTTCCACTGTCACACATAGTGGAGTTGGAGTGTTCGGGGTCTTCTAGGGCACAGTCTCAATCCACGTGAGACAGGCTGGCCCAACTGGCCCTAGCCAGTGCTGTCTGAGATAGGATAAAGCCAGTGCTTTAGGATACAATCCAGAATGGTCTGCAGTACAATAGGGTTGGTTCTCTGCAGATAAGCTGAGGGGGAAAGGCAGATAATGCAAAAAACCACTGTGTTTCACAAAAGACACTTAAAGCGACACTCCTAAGCAGACTTTCATGCATGAAACTCCCAATGGAGTCAATATGAAGCCTGTAATGTGTGTTTGTGAACTCGTGCTATTTTCTCTGAGTGTAACATACATGTAAGAAACTGCAGATGTAAGCGTTGAGCACATAGCAATGAATAATGGTATTCTTAAACTACATGAATTCTAAGGCTATATCAAGGCATAAAATACTGGCAAATGATTTCAGGTCGACTGGAGAGAAAGCGGTTTTCATAAGGCTACTTTCTGTGGTTCTGAAGATACATGGGCCTTCCCTGATCCACTAAATACTGCTCAGTAGGTCCTCTTTGTCAAATCATTACTACAGTGACAATATAGAGACTGCTGAATAATAGTGCGATCGTAAACAGAGACATGTCCTTCTAAGCCCACTGGCATCAATGGACTTTGAAGGGTGTAACTCAGCATAGGATGGCAGTGATAGTCTACAAACAAATATATAATAAACAGAAATAGCAAACAGGGTTCTAAGATACTCGGGCAAGTAAAAAAAGACAGCTTCAAAACAATCAAAAATAGTCTTGCTCATCTAGTGTGGTTATTTCCAGGATGCCGTGTTAATGGACAACTGAAAAGAAAGTTTGTTAAATGTCCAAAAGATTTATAAAAGAACAAAGAGGGTACAGTGGAAGACAGGGTACCTGATTCGGTCCCAGTTGCACTCATAATAAACAGGACTGAAAAGATACCAACACCCAAGTTTTTACCTTGCGGGAGGTGCCACTCCCTCTTAGACAATGAAAAAGCTTTTTACAACAGATCATTAAACTATAGGAAAAAGTCCTCAGGGCTCAGGCTTGTGAGGTTTAATTATTAGCTTCAAAATAATTCAACTGTCCGTAAACAGCCTATTAAATCCACAACTGTGGAAATAGCCTCTGAATTATTTTGTAGGGCCTTGTCTGTTTCAGATGCTAGACAACGCGGGAAATCCGTGGCTGAAATTTCCAGTCCTATAAATGTTTGCATGGCGCGAAGTGGAAAGGCTGGCGTCAGTCATGTACAATCTTTGACCTATTTCCTTTCCCCCTGTAAGAAAACTGCTTATTCCTTTTGGAAACAAAACACTGTGAGGGATTTAAGTAGCAACACAATTTGCAAACAGATTTAGGCTTTAACAAATTATTCTCCACCTGCACATTTGGGGAAACGAAAAGAAGCAGTCTAGCCAAAGCACCATCCTTCAGGTTTTTTTCCCCTGGCATAAGCTTATGTCGTTTTCATTCTTGGGGGAAAAATAATTAGCGTCGAGAAGTATTACAATCAAATAATTGAACAGACTCCCTTCCCTACCCCCTTCTGCCAAATGGTCATTGTAGCCTAAACGGTCTGGCCAAGAGACAAGGGCTTCCAGCTGTTTTGAAAGGAACACTTTGACATATCTAGAGCATAAGCAGACACCAAGGGGGAAAAAATGAAGAATTAATTTGCTCTGAGCTCTTGCCATAACAAAGCCACCAAGGACTGGGGGAGGGGAGAGCATAAAAAAAAATGGATGCATATTTGAAACACTGGAAGTAATCAGGCAGTCAAATTTTGGGATACCATTTCGCTTTTGGAAGAAAAAAAATACAAACAGGCAACATGATATGTTAAGGAAAACAATGCACCAATGTTTGGTGTGAAATGAACATTTGAACAATGTGCGGAATACCTGGCAGATCGGGCGCCTAGACTGAAGCCCATGTATCCTTCTGCAGGCAGAGAATCATCTCCCAGCTCTTTGAGATCCTGCGGCCCCAAGTACTTGTCCGTATCTCCGGTTATTGCATCGTCACCTGCCAGCACAAAAGCAGGCTGAAATCAGAAGCCATGCACAGAGTTGGAAGGCTTTGCTTAGCTAATCCATTCTGGCCATTCATTGGGCCTGGTTGCTAGAAAGTAAACCTGCTGCATTCCTTGAGGCTTTTGCCTACCCTGATATTAAACTATCCCATTACCTGTTATCTAAATGACATAAAAACCTCAAAGGCATTAATCTATAATTAAGCATAAAGATTATCCCTGCAAATCCAATAGTCTGGCAGGTTTATAGCAGGTGTGACGCTAGTCTGATCTTTCTAGCAATCTCAGGCAAAAAGATTATGAATTAAGAGGTGTTCATCAGCATCTGAGACAACCAAGATCCTGGTCAGCAAGTGTTTTTGTTGGCTGGCTACTGTGAGGAGTGGGTTGGGCCAATGTGACATCCTCCCCAAAGGGACCTGCTCGCTCATCCTATCGCAATGGTCACCTCTCCCTCTAGATTGCTCCTTCACCTCCAAACTGGCAGCTAGGGGAAAAAAGAAGGCAGATTATTCCCTTTGGAAGGCTGGAATTATCCCCAAGGCTTCCAGTTGCCAACCTGATATTTTTGTGGTGGGGAAAAACACTTTTTCTCTCACAAAAGCCTTACCTCCAGAACAGCAGAGTTCATCC